TTTTGGCACTCCTAGTTTAGCTTATAGAAATTCAATTTAATTCCTTTTAAATACTCTCAGTGGACGTTCCAGAAGCATAAACGGAGAGTGCCAACATTGCTACCCAAACATAATAAGCATATATAACGACGAATATGAGGAAAACATACCGCAATCCAGGAAGCAACTGTTGCTCTAGCAAAGATAGCCAGTGTCCTGGAAAATTATTTCTACCAAGAAATTTAGGTTGTAATAAAGGGTGGGGTGATGAATGCCTTTTGAAAATTTATGATTCAAATTCAGCTTCCATGCTGGTTTTAGCCACATTATTTTGACTTCTTGTAACAAAATACTTTCTGAAGAACCAAACACTTTGAGACATATTATTCTCTTCATCCATTGATCTTAAGCTGATGTCTCTTTGCTGGTCATCTGGCGTCCTTGTAACTTTTTCAAAACCAGAACTATTTTTATTTTCGTCTTCTCCATATATACTGTTCTTGGTCTGTTTTCATGAAGAAGTCCTTTGTTATAATTGGAGTGCTACAAGCCATGATATATATATATATATATATATATATGTTGCTCTCTCCCGACTTATTCCCAAGAAGTGAAGAGAAGTCTTCAAACCTATGTATATACACACATGAGAAAGAAAAACAAAATTGCCGAACATCGAACCCATATATATAAGGGAAATGCAAATTTTATATATATAGCCAAATTCCCATCATCACATGACTAGCACGAAAGTGAAATGGTATATCAAACGGCACTAAGATATGAAGAAAACAGTTCAAAAATGCATACCAAGTTATATAGAATATGCATATATGTTAAAAGAGAGCAGATGTGTACCTGAAGAGGTTTAGGGCTGGTTTATGAGTATGTGAACATAAAGCAAGCTCATATATATAGGGTAAATTGCCGAAATGCCCCCTGAACTTGTACCTAATTATCAATTTACCCCCTAACCTCTATTTTTAGAAAATTAAAAACTCAAACTAAATTATATTCTCAATTCCCCCCTACCGTCTAAATCTCAACATTTCATCCAATTTGCCGTTAAATATGAGGGCAAATTGGCATTTAAAATTTTGAAATAATATATACATAATTATTTTAATAAACAGAGGGCACACCCACTACATCTTTTACAGATTACAAAGGGGAGGGGGGGGGAGAGCTCGAATGGGAGAGAGAGAGAGAGAGAGAGAGAGAGAGAGAGAGAGGAAGAGATGGAGAAAAGGGAGGGTGGCTTGCGGTGGTGGTCATGGGGGAATGATGGAGAAGAAAATGGGTGTTGCAGCGGTTATGGGTTCGTGGGGGTGGGGGTCGGGGGTTTTGTCTGTGGGTTAATGTACACCCTTACTATAATCACCTCTGACAATACCTGTAGGATGACTAAAAATGCTTCTGTCACGGGATGATTTTCGACACTCCTTATGTTGAACGCAATACTGGTCACGATTGCTTCAAGCTCGCCGGAGAAAAACCGCCACCACAGTCTTGATGCCCTCAACCGTATGAGTCACCGATCAATGCAAATGAATGCAATATGAATGATTAAAGTGTTTGATAAATCACCAAGTAAACATGGAACACTTGATGATTTATCTCAAATATATGCACAGCATCTTTCTTGGAATTTTAGATGCTCAAACCAACTATATGAAAACTCTGCAAAACTAAAGAGATGCACACAAAGATTTATACAAAACTTATTCTCCACAATCCACGTGAAGGCCCACAATCACAACACAATATCTTGCCATGCATTCAATCTGATAGTCTTAGAATCCTATATGATTTCGTCATATTCTCCATTGCACTACAATCAATTGTTTATCCAATTAAACAATATATATCAAGATGTAAACACGAAACCAAATAGGATATTAATTAAAACATCCTTTCCAAGTCCAAGATAATGAAAACATAATATTTTGATCTAAATCAAAATAGAGTCCAACTAGGAAAGTAATCTCAAGAGATAAAATATAATCCTATTAAAAATAGAATTAGCATAAAAATACTTGAGTGAAAATAATTCCAATTAGGAATCCTATAATGAGTGCATGATTATGTCATGATTTACCTGTTGTCAAGTTTCTCATATGGCCAGGTCATGCCTCGGAAGTATAGGGTTGAATGAGTTGTGCCAAAATGTCTAGTAACAATTCTTCACACACTAATTTTCTACCTATGCTAGAGTCTAGGAAATGACAATACAAATTTCATACTAACAACCTCTATAAATTCCACAATGTAAATACCTCAGAGCTCATACAACAAAAGTAGGAATGTTTAGTGATGTCGTTCTTAAGATTCACTTACTTCCTAATCACCTTCTTAGTTCTCTCTCCTCCAAGCTGTATTTGGAACTAGGGATCTTCTCTCCCCATTTTGTTCAACCACTGGGAACTTCACCGCCAATGGCACTTACCAAACCAACCTCAAAGAGCTCATGGATTATTTTACATATGAAACCCATTATCCCACAGGGTTTGCTCTTGGTTCAAAGGGTCAGGATCTAGACACAGTCCATGGGCTTGTCCTCTGTACACTGCAAGCATCAGCCGAAGATGGGCCATGCGTATTTCTGATGCAAGGAATTACATGATCCAAAACTGCACATATAGTAAAGTTGCGGTCTTGTGGTTTGACAATTGCACGTATAAGTATTCAGACGAGCATTTCTGTGGTTTGACAATTGCATGTATAATGTGTTGAATTAATTGTGGTCAAAGAAACATATAGTGAATTTGAATTCACCATCTTATTTCGAAGTCCCTTGAATATGACATCAATTAAAAAAAGGAACTTTCCATTATCCATACAAGTGAAAAGGCACCGTTTGGTAAATAATTTTTGTGATCACAAGAATAAAATAAATTTGAACCAACATAATGATAAAACTTGTCTAAAAACACTATATATATTCTAACCTATCTTTCCCATAAAACCTTCACAAAATTCTTTCTGCACAACTGCAACATGTTCATCTGAATGAGTGGTTCAGAAACAAATTTATATTGAATATTCATGCTAAAGATTACATATATAGTTTAGACTTTAAGATTCCCTAAAGACTATACAACAAATGCCACACATGAGTCACAAATCAATCAGAAATATATCTTTTTTAGATTCACCATCTCTATTTTTTTTTTTGGCAACCAATGGGGTGTTGGATTGGTCTAGGTCTTTAGTGTGCTCTCAAGTGGTTTTGGGTTCAAAATCCCCTATACCCGTGTGTGTGAGTTTTTCTCACTCCCCTTTCCTAACTTTGGCAAAATATATATATATATATATATATATATATATATATCTCTATTTTTTGCCTAAGTAAGTTTCTTTCTCATTCTCCCAAGGATCTACCGATTTTGTTCCACCCTGACAATTTCACTGCCAATGGCATTTACGACACAAACCTGAAGGAGCTCATAAGTTATTTTAGCTATGAAGCCCTTTTACCCCACAGGGTTTGCTCTTGGTTCAAAAGGCACTCATGATACAGAAAGAGCATATGGGCTGACCCTTTGTAGCGTTGGAGTCTCAGCCCTAGTCTGCGCAGCTTGTATTTCTGATGCTATACTAACTATATCCTCCAACATTGTTCATATAGTAAAGTTGCAATTATGTTGTACGAAAATTGTCTATATAAGTATTCGCACAAACAAGCATTTCTTTGGTCCAGTAGTTGAGAACCAAACGAAGGTGTGCGTCATGAATCAGCAAAAAACAAGCAATCCAACGTCATTTATTCGGATGAAAGTAGGTTTATTTAGCAATCTAGTCGTCGAAGCTGCGAATACAATGAAATTGGAAGCAACTGGGTGTTTGGAGCCAGTGGAAGTATATGAAAGGATCCATGCTTCGGTTCAATGCCCTAGTGACCTTTGTACAACATGTCTTCACAATGCGATTTTATTTTTTGAAAGTCGCTGCCAATTGAGATTAGAGGGGTTTATAATGAGCGTTTTAACGTTCGACAAAAGACTTACAAATATTTCTAGGTTTAGTACCTTAATCATTCTATAATATAAATAACGAACTAGCTCTATTTGGTGGTATTTCTCCATTGCATAGTAAAAGAGATTTCAAATTCGAATTCAACCTCTAAGTAGTGTATTTAAGCAGACAATGTATCATTTTATGATTTTGGAATTTGCATAAAATGCTACAAGAGTATAACGTAACGTTTTTTTTGTTATGTTATCGACTTTTATTTCTATTCAATGTCAGTATGTTTTCTTTATTAACCTTTTGATCAAGTATGTGTGTTGTTGAGTTGACTATTTTATCTCAAAAATTCCTGAATATCGAGAAAACCCTTTGCCTTTTGTATTTTGTATGATTGTATATTATGAATTAATAGATTGCAGAGTAAAAAACAGAGTATGTAACCCAGAGTGGGGAAAATGTTTCCTATTCCGTGAGCAACGTGGGCTAGGCTAGCTAATTATAGCTTATTACAATGGGGTATTTTCTTAAATTAATTCCTTACGAGTAAACCCTTCTTGATTAGTAACACAATATAATTAATAAGATTAATTATCATTAGATTAATAGTATTAATTATATTGTCTTGTATTGTAGAAACATCTCCTGTCTAATTGTCTTTTCCCTCTAGGCCGGCCGGGCCTGATTCTACTTTAAAAGAAGAACACAACGACCGAATTTTCCAAGTCGTTGCTTCAAACCTCTGACTATCATGGTCGAGACATTTGGATTTTATGAATGGATTTAGTTGGATCTTGAAAAGCTTAATGATATTAAAATCATGCGAACGTGGCTGTTTGATGAAGACCTCTAAGAAAACACCACATAAGCAGATTTGCATCCATCATTCTAAGTTCAACTTGCTCAAATTCTAACCATGTTTTTTCAAGGAAAGAATAAAAGAACAAGTCAGTGCACTTGTTTGCTTGACTATTGATTAGCATTCATCACTGAGAATCCAGCTTTTCCCTTTGCTGCCTTTCTCTGCTGATTCTAATCCTTCATCATCTTGTAAAATGCAATTTCTTGCATTATATGCTCCTTATTTTCTCTTTGTTTCATGCCTTCTTCAAGTTTCCCATCCCACTATAGCCCAAAAGATCAACCAGTTTTCGAACTGTAACACTACTTTGAATTACACTTCTGGGAGTCTTTATGAGCAAAACCTAAACCTTACCCTCAGTTATCTTGTTGCTAATGCTTCTCTAACAGGATTCTACACCACAAGTATTGGTGAGAACAGTGATGTGGTTTATGGCCTTGTTCAGTGCAGGGGAGACCTCTCTAAAGTTGATTGCCATACTTGTGCAAATACAGCTGCAACTGAGATAAGGCAACTCTGTTTTAGCCAGAAGGAGGCTTCGGTTGGTTATATAAATTGCTCGTTACAGTATTCGGCTCAGCGTTTCTTCTCTACTTTCGACAGTTTTCCAGGAGTACAGTTACATAACCCCAAGACAGCAACTGATCCTGCTCTTTTTAAACGCCAGTCAGGCAACTTGGTTAAGAACCTTTCATCAAAAGCTGCTTCTGATCCTTCCAGATTTGCTCTTTTGTTCACCAGTTACACAGATTTTAATGATATATATGGCATGGCCCAGTGCACCCAAGACTTAGCAGAAAACACCTGCTTAACTTGCCTGCAAGAGATTGCCAGCCATGTTCCTGAGTGCTGTGATGGATATGTTGGGGCTACACTAATTTCTAAAAGTTGTTATCTTCGGTACGAGATATATTCATTTTTTCTGTCACCAATAGCGCATCAGCCACCTCCAGTGGCATCTCCTCCATCTCCTTCCTTGCTTGAGCCTAAGGCTAGTCATGCTGGTAAATTCTTAGGTTCTTTTGTGACACATCCCTGAAATTAGTATGTTTTTCTTGCGATGAATCAATTGCATCAATTATCAGATTCATTTAATTAGCATATAATAAACTTTTAATATTATGAATTGAGTGCTTTTCCAGCAAACAATCAAATATGAATAAGAGATGCAATCATTTCATGTTTTTGCAGGAAAGAAGAGCAATTCAAAAATCATCCTTATCATAGTAATCCCACTAGCTTTAGCATTGACTGTGTTAGCCACAGGCTGCGCTGGTTACTTATTCTGGAAAAAGGCCAAGAGAAATGGGGTTGGTAAGTAGCTCATAGCTCTTATCAATTACAGAATTTAATCACGTTTCTAGCTGTAAGATCTGAGCTTTCTTCTAACATCTTGACCAATTAGTAGAGATTTATATGCTGAAAGTTCTCTGTTTAGGCCAGTGCTTGTTGCATTTTATATGTCCCAAGACATTAACTTAGCATATTATCTTGTAGATGATGTTCCTGATTTACGTGAAGATGGTAATAATAACATGGATCCACTTTTGATTGGACTAAGTACACTTAAAGTTGCAACCAACAATTTCTCAGAAGCATATAAACTTGGAGAAGGTGGATTCGGTCCAGTTTACAAGGTACTTACAATTCATTCGTAATCAGGGCATTCTCTATTTGAAATTAGTGTAAATGACACTGTCCATATGCACCTCTAGGGAAAACTGCCCGATGAACTAGAAATAGCCGTGAAGAGGCTGTCACGTAGTTCAGAGCAAGGTCTAGCAGAACTAAAAACGGAAGTGATGCTGGTTGCTAAGTTACTGCACCGGAATCTGGTAAGACTGTTAGGCTTCTGCTTGGAAGATGAAGAGAAGCTACTCGTCTATGAATACCTACCCAATGGGAGCTTGGACAAGATTTTGTTTGGTATGAACTATAAGGTCCCTGAGTTGTTCACTTTAGTGTAGATTCGGTATTCATTCTTGTTCACAATTAAATTCTGTTTGTCTGAAACTTAAACTTTGTATCTAGATCAGAGGAGACCATTTGGCTTAGAATGGGAAAGAAGGTTCAAAATTATTGTTGGAATTGCTAGAGGGCTACTTTATCTGCATGAAGATTCTCAGCTTAGGATTGTTCACCGAGATTTGAAAGCCAGCAACATCCTGCTAGACGAAGAGATGAATCCCAAAATATCTGATTTTGGTTTAGCCAAACTGTTTTGTGGTAGCCAAACTCATGGCAATACAAATCGGATTTCAGGTACTTTGTATGTCACAAACTTAATTCCTAGTTAGAAATACAATGTTTATTGCTTGACATACACTTCTCTAACTCGTTTATTCATGACTTGCAGTGGATACATGGCACCGGAATATGCTAAAAATGGGAAATTTTCGACTAAATCTGATGCCTTTAGTTTTGGGGTTTTAGTTATGGAAATTATTACAGGTCGAAAGAATTCCAGCTTCCGCAATTTCTCAAATATTCAAAGTTATGTAAGTATGCAAAATAATAAATGGGAGCAATATGCTAAATTGACGGAGCACATGTTTCTTAAAGTTAGATTGACTTGAATTGAACACTTGGAAATTGTCATATAGGCGTGGCAGCATTGGGCCAATGGAACAGCTTTGGAGTTATTGGATCCAAGATTGGGTGACCAGTC